CTGGTCCATTTCTTGATAAGAAATATCACAGCTGGTCCATTTTAATCGAAATTGACAATTTACGAAAACGGCCGAATTAAAAAAATGAGTCCCTGAATTTCTTAAATTTAAGAAGTTGAGCCCCTCAATTTCTTAATTCAAGGTTTTTTGTAATCTGGTCCGTGTGGATACTTTTATAACATCAATTTGGAGACGAACTACAAAAGGTCATTTCTAAGCATATCTATGGCCAATTCTATGAAAGTTTGTCCAGAATTGAGACATTTCAATAACAACCACATTACAAAAACCAAACTAAATTAAGAAATTGTCTCCCGCGAGGTCAGCGTACCCTCGATTTCTTAATTTCTATTTGCCCTGTATTTTCAACATACATTTCTAGGCGCGCCCGCCGAGGGGCTCAATAAGAAAACCAATGATTTCTTATACAGTGGTGTCGCTGTAGTTGCAAGGGCCAAACGACTGGCGCGGAAACGAATCCAGCGTCAGTCCGCAAGTCGTTTGCTGTTTCTTACTGGGCACGGAATGATGTGGGTTCTGGACCCTCAGCAGGCACGAGCTCAACGTGCTGTCATTGTTTGAACTCGTCTCGATCCTTCCTGGCCCCTACCCCCCCATGGACTGCCTCGGGAGTGTTGGTTGTAGGACTTTCGGTGCAGTAAGGTTCTGAGCTGTCGCACCCTTCCTGAGTGCTTCGTCTTGGTCTTGCTTTTTGTTGTGGGTCATAGATCTTGCAGCGCCTTTTCCTTTCTTTTCATATACGCAGGGGCCATCCCGCACTCTTGTGCGCGAAGAGGAACAAGTGCAGTGTTGTTTGCAGGCGATGCTCAGAAGGGGGCCGTGCTCGGACCACGACATCTCAGATACTGAAAGCAACTCTGCCTGAACCAGTTGCTAGCTTGCAGGCACGACGGTATTGCCTTGAAGCTGCCAGCGAGCGCTGTGCACCACAAAGGTCAAGTGTCGCTCCCTGGCCGAGACCGGGATAGCAGTCGCCTCAGTGAGCCTCAGATGTTTAAATCATCACCGGTCACCGACAAATACAAGCTGCTTCTTCCCATCAGATCAGGCAACGCGAGTATCCGGTCAGCAACGCTTGTCTCGAACACGCCCGAAGATGAGCCTTACAAGGACTGAAGCCCATTGTCACGGGTAAAAGGAGGCCGCAGCGGCTGCGTGACGTCAAGAAAAACTCCTCAACTAAGGCTCTGGAGGATCTGCCATGACAGGTTTTAGATTCCACCTCTTTCACGTACGGCGTATTGGCGCCCTAGAATGCTTCAACAAGAGCTGGGAAACTTTGGCAAAGTCTAGCCTCAGACAGCCACGCCTGCGATCATACGTCAAGGGTGCCGGCGCAGAGCGGCAGAATCAGAAATGGACGCGCACTTGTACAATGGCATGCATGAGCGCATGGTAGAGGTTTCCTGCTTAGCAATATTCCAAGGACCATGGGTTGCATTTTACACTTACGACTTGCCTTCATGGCCACTTAGTTGGGAGATTGGACTGGCGATGCCTGAAGGGCACACAGTGTGATGCTGCAACCTGATCCCAGACTTCCTTGACATCTCTAGCGTTATCAAGGGTGTGTGCCATGTTCACAGCTGACAGACCAACACACTCTTACAGAAAAACAGACTTTTGCTTCCCTTTCTCGCCCATCCTTAATATCGGCTTGGCAGGCCATTTTCGGTAAATCTCTGCGCTACATATTGAGGGGTCTTAGGCAACTGGACAGGTCCGCCGGGACATTTTATGACTGCAAAAGGCCAGCTGCGGAATGTTTTCTGTGGTGTTTGCGGAATGCTTCCACGCCTTCCGCTTATCGGGACATGTCTAGAACAGAGAGTTCAACCCATTTGCCTTTCAGATCTGGTTCGCAGACGTTGCCCAAAATCAAGGCCGCAGGCATGCGAAGCCCTCAAATCTACCAGCGCCTCTGCAACCGACTAGTTTGAGCGGGCTCAAAAGTTGGTCTGTGCTTGGAGCTTTGCTGTTTGCAGTGGAAAAGTTCCAATCATGCATTGTTTGTCAATGCAGCTACAGTCTATTCATTTTAAAGGCATACAGGATGATGGGCTCTTGCCGTTTTGAGCTTGGCAGTCAGTTTGTGGCACCGTTTTTTCAAGCTGAACTTGCAGCTGCCCATGAGGAGTTACCCTCGTGGCTAACAACATGTCCAATGCATGCGAGGTGGGACATGGAACAGACAGATTCATTTTGGAAGTCTGTTTTTCCTGCTCAGGACGTCCCCATCTTCGCCGTTGCTTTGTCAAGCACAGTTGAACAGAGTGAAGCACCACACCACGACGTCAGAAGCATTTGCTTTCGCATGTTCCAGTGAGGCTGGCAATCTCCAGCCAAGGCCACGCCGTGGGTTTCTCGTGTATTTCATGCTGGATTGCTTTGAGATCCCGAGCGCTATCAGAAGCCGAGTTGGGTAATGTCAAATGTCATTCAGCAAGCCTGAGAAACTGGAGCCTGGCAGGCAGCGGCTTTTCGGATGTGTCTCCGATCTGAGACTTCCGCAGCTCACCCTGGCTGTGGTTCTGGCTGCTCAAGAAGAGCAGGAGGAGATCCGAAACAGGGCAAAACAAGTGGCGTAATGCAGCTTGCCTTGTCCCAGCCCATGCATGGTGCCTGAGACCCTCAAATGCATCCTGGCCTTTTTTTCTGCTGATGCTCTGGAGAAGCGGCTGGGAAGTCCTGTGCGGGCATTCGGTGCCTTTGCCAGGACTCTCTGCAGAGCCGCGGGTGTGGAGTGTTGACTTTTCTGGCGCTGACCTGTTGCCAGGACCATGCCGCAGAATGAGTGCGCAACAGACCACTTCCATGGTGATGAAAGGTTTATTCAGGTCACATTGACTGGACCCCCAGCACCAGGTAGTCCTGGTGCCATTTGACGCTGCTCTTGCCAGAGAAGCATAGCTTAAGCTCTACAACACAGCACCGCAGAGTTCAACGATGGCGGTGTAGACTGTTTAATCCACAGGTACATCAGGGAGTCCATCAAGCGCTTCGGACGCCGTTTCGATCATGAAGAGCGCATGCGCAAAAAAAAGGCCAGAGAGCCGAAGAAGGCGGGGCTTTGAATCGGACAACCGATTTTGGTAGTTTTTGGGGGCCGTTTCAGTTTGCGGGTGGCTTGGCCAAAATGCCTGACAGATAGCCAAAACGGCGCGGAAGCTTCGAGGAATTAAAGCGAAGCTCTTCACGAAAAAGAGGCCTGGACCAGACTGGAGGTTCTGCTGGAGAGCAGAGCATAGCAGAGCCAACTATTTTGCGCAGGTATTCGGAGAAGGCCACCATGAAAAAGACCATCAAGGCACATCAGGAAAAGGATGCCAAAGCGAAGGACGCTGACGAGGTGCAGCGTTGCTAAATGCACTTGAAGTCATGTTTCCGTGCCTCTTTTACACATGGAGTGAGACTCGAGGTCAAGCCTGGAGCCGTCCCGGCTTACCTGCTGGATAGGGAGCAGGTGAGGAGAACAAAGGCCTGGCCTCTGAAAGCACATCACACCTCACATATCCTCACATCACATCTCATTATGTGCTTATCGTGCTTTGAGTTCCACGTGTCAGGTGCTATCAAACATGATCAAGCAAAAGCGAAAGGAGAAAGCAGGCAAGTGGCAAGTGCCAATCCCCAAGGCTGGGAGAGAACAATTTCCGTTGTGCGTCACCTAAGCTGCCAGCCCTGCCGCAGTGGAGGTTAAGGCCATGACAGAGGATGAGATGTTCAAGATCCTCCGGTCCGGGAAACGCAAGAAGAAGGCAGATCAGATCTATTGTCAGTCCTGTTCGTCCTTCTTGGCATTTTCCCAGGCTTGGAAGCGCGTGGTGAACAAAGTGTCATTTGTTGGCGACGTGCGCTTTGCAGAGCTTGCTTTTCCCGCTTCGCACTCTGCTTTTCTTGTTGAACTGGGCCCAGAACTTCACACGAAAGCCTCCGAAGTTCGAAAGATATATTCGACCTGCAGCTTTGAGGCCTGAGCTTGCTCACATGCACGGAGCACGTTTTCGGATTCTCCTGCTGCAGATTCAAGAAAGCGCACGTGACCCATCCAGAGCTGAAGATGACATTCTGCTTGGACATCGTCAGTGTCAAGAAGAATCCGCAGGCCTTGCTGTTAACAAGCCAGACTGCTTGCAGTTCGTTGAAACATGCAAATGCATGTTTTTCTGCTCGGCGGCGCTTGCAGTCCGCGCTGTACACTTCTCTGGGCGTCATCACAAAGGGAACCATCATTGAGGCTGGAGAGGGTACTTTGGAGGTGGCCACTGGCTGCTACCTGAAAACAGGTTTGTTTTCAGGCTTTGCAGCTTTGAACGCACGCGGCTGCAAATCTACACCAAAGAGAAAAGGGGCTGCTGCAGGTGAATGTGTCTGAACTTGGCCTAGTGACTCAAACTGGAAAGGCCTGGTGCTTGTTCATCAATCTGCCTGCCTTGCATCAAACTGGCATTGCATGAGGTTATATGGGCCAAGTACGCGCAGGCCGCCGTGCCATATTTGACTGCCCGGCTTCACGATTCAATCAGGTCAAACAAACAGGAAACTAACGTGCAGATGTCGCTCAGCTCATGATGCCCAGTCGCATTGGTGTCATGGCTCCCATGTGACTTGCATGCAGGTCACCAACAATCCTGATATTGATGGTTGCATCAATGCTTTGTTGCTTGTGTAAGAGGCTCTTGGACTACTTCAAAACGAAAGCTTGTGTCGTTTACAATCCTTTCCAGCACGAGCGACAGCTTCTTTTCAACTTTGACTTAGCGTCAAGGCCAGAACGTTTCACACATCATCTGGAAAATGGACCGTGCCCGAGTTGTGGCAGCATGGCCATGCACCCACTCATTGAAGATGCTCGCAGACATGTAGCGAGATCCAACTTAGCTGCAGTTGGTCTATTTATACGATGAAAGGCACGAGAAAGCAAAACAAGCAGACCATTCCGGCTTAAGGCATCAGCCTTCCTCAGTCTGAGAAATGGAGGAAGTAGGTTTCGAACGGCCAGAAGTGAATTCCGAGCCCCTAGCTGGGACAGTGAAAGCCTACGACACGCACGTGTTCCTGGCATGGGGCCGCGCATCTGATTGGCCGGAAGATCCCTTCGACGCGCAGTACGCAGGAACCTTACCAGTGACACTGGACAAGGCCATCAAGGCAGCAAAAGCTGACATCAAGTCCAAGGCAGCGTTGCCGTAGTTTAAAGGCTCGTCTCGTAAATCACAGCAGAGAGCAGAAAGCAGGTGCGGCTAACGCTGGTTGAGGCCGAAAGCAAAGATGAGGCAAATGCCGAGCCATCAACGCTGTGCTTGATGCGAGATGTAGCGAGATGCTGATCTGGCACGACTTTTGTCCACTGCCCTACGTAATCTCATCTTATCTCAGCGCTAGCGCACCGCCTTGGCCTGAATCAGGCGGGATCATGCTTGTCAGCAAGAAGACCAGCCAACGCCAAGCCCTTTTTCACCTTAGAAAACACCCTAGAGGCCCAACAGACCCTTCAACAGACCCCCGTCACATCTAGCTGGGAGGGAGGTGGGCGTGCGGCCTGGAGGGGAGGGCAGAGGCCACAGCCTGAGGCCTTGGTGGATTTGTAAGTGATAGATGTGATGGTAATTATGTCTCTTCAAAACATCTTCAAATTCAACCTCAATTCGCGAGGTGTTTCAACGAATACCCAAAAATGAGTTCTCCAGAGCATTTATGGATTGTACATAGTCATAATAGGGGACTCTATGAATGTGATGATGACCAAAAGCATGGGAGAAGCGATGCCCGGACTGGACCTAGCGCAGGAAGGATGCGTCTTGGTCTTCCCAAACTACATCCGGTACGAAATTGGAACGGATGGGGCCAGCAGCTGGGCTTGAATGGAATGCAAAGTTTTTTCACTACAGCCACGCATGTCAGTGGCAGTTCAAGAGAGTGAAAGCTGTACTGGTACTTGATTTGAATTTGGGCGACGGTGACTTTTCTCATCTCTTCGCATAGTCCACTTTGCCTCCAATCATCTCCAGTCCACGGAAGCTGTTGAACTTGTCCAGAACTGATGATGTAGTCAACCCTTGAGTTTGCCTTGGCTGATCTCTGCTGTATCGCTCCAGCTTGCTGCCTCAGCTCTCTCAGAGCAAAAGCAGGTTATCAAGATTTAGGCGTATGCCGCACCCTGAGCTTGTTCGGCATGATAGGCCTCTGAGAGGAGCCAGCAGGCACTATTGTGACAGTGGTCACATAATGTCGTAGGACCTGTTTTCTGATAGCTGACTGAGAGCAGCCCTATCACGTGGCACATGTGAGTAAAGGTCCGCCCGGAACCCTAGGCTTGCCGCCGCCCACCGCAAAACACTGGCGGGCGTGTGATTTCGGGCATGTGGAAACCTAAACATTCGGGATACCGAGCCCTTCTTTAGTTTAAAGGGATCAAACGTTGAGGAAAATAAAGCTTCCTGTTGAACGTTGGGAAGTGTTTCGTTGTCACAGCCACTGGCTTGACTTTGAGTTGATACACGCGCGCGGGAACACTTGCAGGCCACCTCTGGAACCAGCTTGTCTAAAACCCGACAAGCAACACAGACTGCAGGCCACGACTTCTGAGCAAGGTTGCAGCGTCATTGTGCTGTACACGGAGCGAACCCCTGAAGCGGAGTCCGGCCGTTGGTGTGGGGGGACGCCGCTGGAACAACGTGGCGCTCGATCTAGGGCGCAACCTTGCCCAAGTCTCTGCTCGCGCCACCTTCGTTGCGATGCGCCGGGAGCTCTGCCTGGGCGAAGCGATGGTGGGGCATTTTGTCAGTTGCTGTCCAGTCATTAGCCGGTGCGAGCACGGATGGACAGGCTGCGTCTCCGATAGCAGGTGCAGTAGGACATGGTAGGACGTCAGAATGAGAGAGGGAGGGGCCCCGGCCCGCAAAACACGCGGGGATCATTTACGCAATGTACCGCGCTCTTCGGAAAACCAGATCCAGGCTGTGGGTAACATACCGTTTTCGCTTCCAGCGTCTGGGATCATCATGTCTCGTCTTGCATGCAAGACGGGACAAGTGACATGCCATCCATGTCCGGTCCCTTGGATTTTCCCTGCTCCTCGGCTGAATTGCTGGATGTTTGGTCCCAGCATCCATCACATCGAGCTCTTGGCCGAAAGCCGCCCCCCACCAGAGGTAAACAGTGTCGCCATGTTTTTGCATGTTGTTGCGTCTTCTCCTGACAAAAGCAGTACCACCAACAGAAATAGAATAATACAGGATAATTGCAAACTTTAAAACAAGGCGAATTGTGCAAGTGCGGCCGCAAAAAGGTTGCGCTCATTTTTTCGATGTGTCAACGTGCATTGTCTTTTGCAAGTTTGATTTTTGGGCGCTCCAAAATCTCTCGTGCGCAAATGTCCATGTCGGGAAGATGCCCATTATTCTTTCGATGGGATTGAGAAAATCTCAGGTTGGTGCTGGATTGGCTAGCAAGGCGCCAGGACATTAAGATGTCTTTCGAAACATCCCAAGTTGGTGATTGTATTAGTTTATGAAGTTGCTTGAAGTTTCAAGAAGCTTGAATCTGAGCTGAAGCTGCGTTGCTGCGCGGCCATTGAGAGCTTCGAACGTGCATTTGCTGGCAGCTCAAAAAAATGAAAGCCTTTTGCCATGGATACGATCGAAATTTTGCAGAGGGGTTTTGGCCCTAGTGCCGTGCTTGCTTTACGTTCTTGATTCGTTCACAGATTTGCGATTTGCCCGCCGATAGGTGCGACTTTCAGTCAGAGTCTAGAGTTGTAGCTTCCCGCAATACCCAGCAAAAGTGCCACGATGCAACAGGAGCCTTGTGGTTGCGAACAAAAATCGCGGAAAACACGTGTTGGGAATTTGCAGCCCTCGAAAGGTAGCATTCGGGAACACGGTTTTTGCAATGATTTTGTTAGTTGCCATGGGCCTACGCCATATGCTTGCTGTCGCATATGCGAGCCATGCCAAAAAATGAAGTGAGCAACAACAATGAAAACACATGAAAACACGACCTAAGCCCTGAATCCTGAACCCTCCACCGTGGACTAAACGTCCAGGGTCGTGGGAACCCCACGCAAAACACGAGTTTACATTTGCAGTGCCCGTTTGCCACTTTGTTTTTACTGCTAACGTGCGATGGAGCAGCGCGTCGCGTCCTGGTGCTGCTCGCGCGCCCAATCGCAAACCGTGCGACTGCTCGCCGGTGCAAACTTGCCGTTGTTGGCGTCAAGGGGGTGGGCATTCGCCGCGGCTAGAATGCGGGGGACGGCTACCCGACAGGCTTCTCTCCACCGTTGAATGCGTGGGCATTTTTGCGCTCGCCGTGATGTGGGCTTTTGCGCACTTTGGAGCCGCCGTTGGCGGGTTGATGCACGCAGCGGCGCTGAGCTTTTTTTGATGAACCCCTGTGCCAAACAGCCGCCTGATGCGCTATCCTGCACCCAGCGGCTGTGCTCCTAGCCAGATAGCTAAGCCGAGCCACCAGTGCCCCCACCGACCCCAGCATCTTGGGCAGACGGATAGGTCCCTGCCTCGTCGAGGTTGATGTGCAGCATACCCAGAGCTCATGCGCGGAGTTGCGCAAAAACTGCCGGTGCCGATGGTGGGGCGCTCTGTCAGTTGCGGCGCAGCTCGCAATCGCAAGCACTGCCTTAGGCCGCCCCCGGCCCGCAGCGGCGCAGCCATGCTCCAACAGCAATGCGGCCCAACACTGGGCCGTGTCCTAGACGTTGAGGAGGGCGGAGGGCCCAGCCGATTGCCACTGCGGCTTTGGGACGACGTGTGGCAGGATTGTTTGGCCCGCGTATAGCTACGTAGGCGCAGAAGAAGCCAACCGCAATGCAAATCCGACAAATGCCGCAAGGATCAACCATTTCCTTCTTGTAGCGTAAGAGATGGTTGGCTGCCGCGTTCTAATGTTGGTTGGCGGCTTGTGGATGGTGAGCCGTGGTCTGGCAGCATGGCATACCCTGGCGCATGTGAATCGACGTGTCACCTCGGCGTTTCAAGGACAAACGCGTCACCTCGGCGTTTCAACAATGTTCGCTGCTGTCAAGACAATACAGGTTTGCGGTTTGCGGCAATCATGGGATCGTTCATGTCGTGGAGATGTTTCCTGGGGCATGCGCATCAACAATTCGATGACCAAGCCCAACTTCGTCCGCAGAGCTGGCTCTTCAACCGACTGAGGCTCCCCCATTGACCATGGCATTTCGTCCAATTTGGTGCCGCTGGGTCACCCGCAAAACGTGCTTCCAAGTCATCGGCAACCTCATCCGGTTCAGGCTGGGACCTCAGCTTCTTGCCCGCACAAAAGGACTTTGACCGTTGCAAACTTGCCCCGTTCGAAACGCGAGCCAAGGAACCAACCAGTCAAAGTCAAGGCCTTCCAGTTCCGAACCTCCAGGCGATGGGACGGAGTAATTTGCAAATTCAATGATTTGCGGGATTGTGCGCTTGTCGCGTGCCATCTTTGCCAGCACAGCTGTTGCAGTTCGAGCGATGGTGCAAATTTTGGGCGGCCGCAATTGAAGTGACCCATTAGCACATTTGAAATCATTTGGAAACGTTAGAGGTTCGGCATCGGATGACGAGCAATGAAAGATGCAAGTTCCGAATGACTTTGGCTTGGTTGTTGCGCGTCCCATTTTTTTGGTTGCGCGCCAAGAATCATGCTCTGGTTGTACGTTGATGATTCGTTCGCGTTGGCAAACCAGCCGCATGGACTTGCAACGTGCTCTGGATGCCGTCTTCCAGTTCTCCGGAAGTGGAACAACCATAGCCACCGTGTATTTGCAAGCAGAAGCCGCAAAGTTCATCAGTGTATGGCTTGGTCGGAAAATCGCCAATTGCACACAGGCTTTCCGTGCAGCTTGTTCAATTCATGCCATTTATGCTTTACGGGTGTGACCTTTCTCAGCGCCAATGCCTTTGCTTTCTTAGACCAGGAAGTAAGTCCGTGGGGCTGCCGCCTCTTGCAGTGGTCCTCTGGGCTCCCGGCGCGGCCGTGTAGGGTGAGTTATGTTGGGCCTCCTTTTGCCACGGGGTCGTGGAAAACAAATTCAGCTTGTTTGGACGTTTTTGGACGCTTAAGCTGTGCGGAATAGGGGTCTTGTTGCAGAATCTTTTGCTACGCTGTAGGCGGGATGCGTACCAACAAAACATCATCCGGATCAAATTTTTCTGGATAACAAAACCCTCGTCCCGGACAAAGAGGAACTTTCCGCTGGAAGCATGACCAAAAAAGGGAAGAGTTTGGGAAGGAAAGAGAGAAGGAAACCACCAGATCAAAATAACATTTTCCGCATCAAGAAGAACTTGCCGCGCAAAATACAGACACACAAAGCAGGGGGGTGGGACGGCAGGAAAGAAGGAAGGAAGGAAGGAAAACAGGAAGAAACCAAGAAACCAAGAAAGGACGGAAGGAAGGAAGGAACGAAGGAACCAAGGCACGAACACCAAGAGGGAAAGAAAGAGTGAAGGAAGGAAGGAACCAAGGCACGAACACCAAGAAGGAAGGAAGGAGGGCAAGGAAGAAAGGAACGATACCCTAGATGCTGAATGCCCACTGCACCTTCCCTCGCGACGCTGCGGGCCCTCGCCGGGATGTGGTGCGCAAGTGGACGCCTTCCGTGACCGCGTTGGCATGCCCCAGAACAGGCTTGCTAGCACGCAGGGCCAAGGTTCCCCAACAATGGCTGGTGCACACAATTGCGTCAATGCTGACCCAGCCGACAGGCGCAGACCGGATCTGGTGATTTATTGCGCCACGCCACTGGGTGGGTTTAATGGTAAATGTTCTGCCTGACCATTCCCCATGTCCTTATAGGACCGTAGTCCTAGTGAGGCGTCAAACAGAGT